GTCCACCCCAACTCCATCCACCCCCAGAAACCTGCATACTACCCGCAACTCCGTCCACYCCCAGAATTCTGCATACTACCCGCAACTCCGTCCACCCCCAGACAACATGCGCCCTACGGTAGCCCGACGAATCTGGCAGACGTTACGGCTAATGCAGCCACAGAAATCCCTTCCCTGCTAACCACGGGCCGTGATGCACACTGCTTGTGCAGTGTGCAGCCACATCAAACGTCAAACTTTCCTATACCTGAAACCCTCCAACGACCTCCACCTCCCCGCTCTTCACCGCATGACCACGCCACCCTCTCCCGACCGCAGCCACGTTACGTGAGGAAACGACCGGTCGGTCTCCTGTTGGCGACCACAACCCTATTTTGCATGCAACGACTCCTTGTATACCCCTCTAAGGCGTACTAAGCGGTCGACGACATTCCCCATATGGAATGCGATAGCTAGACGACAAAAGACATCAGTGTATACACAGCCATCCTGGCTGTAAGCCCTTCCCTCCTCCTCTCTGTGGTGGGCGAAGTCATTTGGTGGGATCGTCAACAAATGTCCTGTGGTATCTGCCTTTTCCTTGGCACGGCCCAAAACGTCCTTATTGCTGTCCCTTTTTTTTCTCTCCCCCTTCCCCCACGAAATGCCTCCTCGCTCCTTACGCGTCACCCTTCCGCCCCTTGGCTGCGCTACCGCGCCAGGCGCGGTCTATCAGTNTGGCTGCGCTACCGCGCCAGGCGCGGTCTATCAGTGTTTTTTTTTTTTTTTTTTTTTTTTTTTTTTTTTTTAAACCTCTGGAGAGGCTCGATCTATTGGTGGGGAGCATCACCTGCTAAAAAACGGGTCCAGCGTCCGATATACAGAGAAAGAAAATGTCTGAGAATAGTGAGAATAGCCAATGTGGGACCTGCCAGCATCGGTCCTTCGGGACATCCGTTAAAATTGGAACGATACAGAGAAGATTATTTTTTATTTTTTTATTTTTTTGTGTGGTCCGATGGACCACGGATCAGATATTAAACTGATCAGAACAGATACTACACTTGATCTTAGCCAAACGGCCGAGAAATTAGCATGGCCCCTGCGCAAGGATGACACTTTTAAAGAAAGAAAAAAAACAAAGAAAGGACCTGCCAGCATTGATTGCCCCGCGACCCAGGGGATTGAGTGAGCAGGCCTGTATAGTGTCCAGTGGTGCATTTCCATCTGTACCCCTTGACCCCCAATAGAAGTGAGCCAGATAAAAAGTTAAGGACTGGTACTATTTACTGTTAGGTGGCCTGATCGAGCTGAAATTTCATTCTAAATTTTAGAGAAAATGCTCACTCCAAACCATACCAACTCAAAGCGACCAGGCTTAAGGATGATGCCGGGAAAAGTCCGGGAATTCAGACAGGGGGTGAAGAGGACTCGGAAAGGATGGGTACACAGATATCCAATCACAAAATGCCCCGACTTGACTCCCCTTGTCATCCCCCTTAAACCCTTTCCACTTGATTTCCCCAAGTTCCCCCTCCTGGGTCCCCCCTAGCCAATCGCCGCTGAATTTTTGAATGTCGTTAAGGATTTCTGATTCTCTGAGTAAATGTTTAATTTTCTCTTTCACTCTGTCCCATTCATTGTGCTGAGATATCAGTTTGGATATGGTGCTTGATTGAATCTGTTAGATCTGGGCCTTCAAATCTGGCTCCTTCCATTTCATACGTACATCTTCATCTCCAGAGAGCCCATAGGACGGCTCTCCTTCCTATTGTATAAAAAAATTGTGAGAAGGTATCCGTTTGGGGTGGGTTCCATGTTTCACATAAGAGTGCTTTCCAATCCCACAGCCATGGAAGGGAGGTGATAGATACTTTGGTTCCAGATTCTATCCCACCATCTCCACAACCATTTTGCTTCAGGACATTGAAGGAAGATGTGCTCTATAGTCTCCGGAATTTTTCTCGAAGGAAATACAGATAGGCAAAGTCCAATACCTTTCTCGGCCTTTTGGCTAAGATCAAGTGTCGTATAGAACGTATCC